GGCGACAAGTAACTTTGTCATTGCCGAGTTTTCTTCCGGGAACATTCCGAAGGACATCGTGCGATTTCAAGATCGTTCAGTTGCTTTTAGCGTTGCTCCGGTAAGTAGCAGCTTCCCTTGGCGGGCTTTTCAACGACGGATAATTATTGATTTGTCGTAGAAAACTTCTCGTAGAAAGCGTCTCCGGGAACCCCATTTCGCAGCTACGCTCCCAACGCGTTGCAAAGCGAATCTCAGCGAGACTTCAATTTTCAAGCGGTCCGTCTCGCACAAAGCTCGACGGTCCGGCAACTAACGTTTACAAGCTTGTAAAGCGCGCTCGTTAGCGATCCGCCGCTTCGCGAGAAAAACATAATCGGCCGTCGTAAAGAAAGATCGCCGAGAGTCGCGAGAGAGAAGGCGAGCTGGTAAACGCGAAAATGCGAGTCGGCGAGAGAAGACAGGCGAGCTAAACGTCGGCCGCAACCTGCGTACGCGTGTCCGTGGCGGCCTTCGGCCAACGGCTCTCGCCGTTGACGCCGCGGCGCTCGACCGTCTTCGACGCGTTGGAAAACTGGTTTCCCCACTGCGCACGCGGCCGAGGAGAGAGCAGCCGGCGTCCGCGACGCGCCCGGACGAGCCCGCGTCGAGGAGCTCCCAGCGACGGGGCCCGGTAGGTGCATCGCTGTGCGGCGCCGCGCCGCTGCGCGCGAAAGGGCAACAGCCGCTGGCCTGCGCCGAGGTCATTTCTCCGCGGGGGTGGCGGCGCGCGCGTCCCTCGGCGCCGAGCTAGACGTGCTCGCAGACGTTAGCCGCGCACGACCGCCGCGCAGGACCAGCCTCCTCCTCCTCCCGCCCTCTTGCGCAGCTCGTTCGCTCCGCTGGACTTTTCCTGAGCGAGCTCTGCCCTTGCCGGCGACTCTGCACCGTCGGCTTCGCAACGAACGAACGAACGAACGAACGACCACAATCTTTGCCGTCTGCTTCATTTGGAGACAATGATTATTCTCTTCTCCGGCGCCTCGTGCCGCTGCTGATCAGAGGCTGGCTAACGAAGACGGACTAGCCCGGCAACGATAAGGCGAGTGCACCGTCCAAGGAAAGTGGCGATAAACGAGATCGACCGAGGCAATATTCTCAGCTGAGAATAGCGTTGGACGACGACTCATTCTCGAGATTCATATTTTATCATGCTCGATGTCGATGTCGCCGGCTTTTTTATCGAAACATTTATGTGCTTTACCTGACGCTAATAATGCCATGTACTTATTTCTTAATGATAAAATACAACGAAACTTACTCGTGAACATCCTAATATGAGACTTGCGATCATAATAGTCAGTAACGTGACTGACACGTGTTATCAACATTAAAAAAATGTCTCCGGCTAAATTGGCTTTAAATTTCAGCCAGCAAAAATAATGCCATATGACGAGCGTGTTGCACGGCTTTATCGTTGCACAGCAATCTGGCCGCATTAATGACTCTTTTCGCGCCTGCATTAATGCTAATAAAAGCTCATTGACACTCTTATTCGGAGATGGATTCGAATAATGGATAACTAATTGACCACAAATCACCTATTAATTGTCCGAACTGTATTTTCAAGGAATCCGATAAATTTGGGTAAAGCATCGTTTTAGTAGGAGCAATTTATTCTATAAATATTCTAATCGGCAAATCGGCAATAAATATAAGTAAAGCAGAGATTTAGTTCAAAGTAAAATCATCAATTTATTTTATTCTATAAATACTTTAATCGGCACTCGACAAATTTAGATACGAAATTTCCAAAGTTTCAAAACAGGAAATATTATATAGGCTGCAAGATATTTCTGGGTTCATTAGGATCGACGTTCAGCTGTAATTTGATTCGAAATGCGTGCAATTGAGCGTATAGAGAGAGCACTCGCGCGACAACAAATGAAAAAAATAGCAGCCGCCGAGAGAATTTTAGACTTGTATCGTGTAAAGCTTAAATATCCCAATTTGATAAGGCCGAGTTACCGGTTGGTCAACCTTTCATTATCGTCACGCTTGTGTTCGTAATGATGTTTGCCTGTTCCCTAATCGTCTCTCTCTCTCTCTCTCTCTCTCTCTCTCCATCTCTCCGTCGCACTGGCAAAAAGTGGCGCGGTTCTATAAATAAACGCTTCGATAAGGAGTCAGCGGTAGTGCGCATTGTGCCCAGTGCGCGGAGGCTCCGAGGCGACAATTTGCGAGTTAAACAACTGAAGCGGTCGAAACAATGGCTTTTTAGCGCTGCACCGACTGACCACTGCATCGGAGGGGAGGGGGGGCGACATTTGCTCGTCGTTCGCGCACTCACCTCCAGTCGGCGTTGCCGCCGACGCCGCTGAATTATACCCATTATGCGTGTGTGTAAAAGCTGCCATTTGCGCCGACGATCAGTGCATTCATGGAAACAGTGTAAGATCAAAGAGCCCCTATCACAGCTCGACACGTTGGATGACGGGACGAGGTTGCGCCGAACAAAACATCGACCGGAGTCCTCTTTATATTGTTGCCTTCCCAGGTTCGCGAAAGCCACGAGTGCCATATCCAACCCCCTTTTCCAGCAATATAAGTCAATACTAATTGACAACGATGAATAATGAACAGGAGAACGAATGTGCGCTGTCAGAAATGGCAAGTCCGAGGCTAAAGTTGTTCACGCGAAGGGACAATCGGCTTAGAAATGTAAAGCCGCATCAGAGGAAAGCCCAAGAGAAGGAGAAACAAGAAGAAGGAAACCAGCCGCAGCGACAGAGCCTTGGAAGAAAGCGAATCGATAACGGAACAAGCGCCAGCAGCTAAGGACAGTTCCGGCTTGTCGGCAGACTTTAGCCTGCGGGCTACGCCGTCGTCGTCGCGGCTCTTCTTCGTCCGTATTGTACCTTCAACCGTTACTGCCGATTCTCCTCGTAACCGCGTTTTTTTTTCTTCCTTCAGTGCTATACGAGTACACTGCCTCGCTGGTTCTCCTGTGCTCAAACCGCGCTGATTTTTCATAAACGTTCGATCGAACGGATGCTTGTTCGTACAGTCCGAATATGCTTTTAAAACACATTTAAAAAAATAATTTATCAATTTGTTGTCGGCTTCAAGAAAGGCAGTTGAATCATTTGACAGCTTTAACTCGGTGACGATCTATTGAGTAGCGATAATATAAGGTGTCAAAGCCAATGAAATTGAAATAACGAGCCACAAATTTTCCATTTCAAGAAGCAACCGCGACAGTTTGATTTTTTATGCATACGCAGACGTTATATTTGTGCATTTAAATAAAGAACAAAGCTGTCGAGCTTCGCTTTTATTTTGTACGCAATAACAAACTATTTTCAACTAAAAATCCGATTAAAATAAGTTACAAATGCCAGAGTGAGTCAGGATGGTCGTGACGTCACGAATAAGTATACGTAATGCATTACACAGCAAGTGAATCTTTCTAAAGCCTCTCAATATTTCGATGAGTCACTTTCGTAACGTAAAAAAGAACGAGTTCACGATAAATATTGTGCATCGATAAGCCGAATCAGAGCTTGAAAATCTTGGTCGGCGCTGCACGTATACATATTACGTTAGCTAAAAAAAGAAAAAAAGGCCACTGACTCATGAAAAGCGCTGCATCGAGCCAAAAGAGCGCTCGAGGCTTGTGGCATTTGCGCGAGCAGCCAACTTTGGAGCGTCACGAATTTTCGCGGGGACCTCCCCCCCCCCCCTTCTTCCTTCTTTGTCGCTCTCGCAGATTCAACAGATGGAAAGTAAATCGAAAGAGATCGAGCGAGAGAGGAAAAAAACGCGCGGCTGTGATATCTCGTGATTCATTTGCTGAGCGCCCTTAGCGACGTGTACAGCCAACGTAAAAGAGCGAGGAACAGGCTTTGTCCTCGCCGTCATCTTTCAAGGTCGGTTTTTCTCCTTCTCTTTCTATTCCTCGGCGGCGAGGAGACGCATACGCACAGCCATTCGCGCTAACGAGGCGTAGGTGGCGCCAGCTGACAAACGTTGCCCGGCTCGGGCTCGCAGTCTCACACGTGCTGTGCTGCTGCTGCTGCCAGCCGGAAGTTACGAATCGCGGCTCACGACGGAAACCCGCCTCCCTACCAGCAGATTCCTCTGTTATCGAGCTATCCCATTACTCTGCCTTATCGGCCGTTCCATTTGAAAACATTTAAACAACGACACTGGCAGTTCTTAGAGGTCCAAGCTTACGATTAACATTCAAATGTATTAGAAAACATAGGTAATCTAAGACAAAAAGCATGCGGTGTATCTAGACAGTTGCACATTATCAGCTGATAGACAGTTTTCAACAATAGTACGATGATCCAGAATGATTTTAACAGTACACAACATATCGATGTAATGTGTCGAAATCTAAGATGAATGTATAACGGAACTGCTGATTTCTATGGTGACAATGATGTGATGATGAATCAGACATGATTGATGTAACGCTAAGAGTATCATGTAATATAAAAACTGTGTTGGAAGCGCATAACACCTAAGTGATATGTATATAAAATTGGTTAAAGTAACATGCGGTTTGATATCTACCTAAAGGTAGTTTTATGCCACGAAAGGTCACCCAGATGATCAAGTACTTTTAACAATTTTCATTGATGTTATATGCCAAAATGTTATTATTTTTAAGACGGCGTTGTAAACAAAAACTTGATGAACGATATTTTTATAGTTGGACTCATATTGAACTCATGGGCAATACGTGAAACAAATTTGATTGGTTGATTGAAAAGAATGTTTCTTATTTTGCTAATCGCACAATATCGATAAAATATATATATAATTTTGATGACATTTTGAACTTTAGATGTATATATATTGCGCAAAAAATGTGAAAGATTTTCACGGAAAGCACTGTGGCCTGGAGAGACCAGTGCAACTTAAAGAAAAGAACTCGAAGCAAGGGGCAATATTTTCGTTTTGTAAATGTCAATTAAATAGAAAAATAAGAAAACGAAAGGGAAACAGTACAGTCCGTACACGAAAGAAAATAAGAACGAGAAAATCGCGTCATCGAGTTTTCGCAAAGCCACCATTGAGAGAAAAGAATTTAGTGATGCTGATTTTAGTAGAGTTCGTTGTGGCGGACGTCTATAAATGTGAGAGTCCGCATGGGCAATAGAATGTAATCCGGCGCTTACCTTTCTTGATGAGTAAGCTAGTGACCCTCCGTAGCGCCTCGCGTGTAGTGGAGGTGGAGGTGTGCTTACTTTGGCCGAAGTACTTGTTGGGCGTGATGTTGGTCGGTAAGGTGAGTGGTTTCCTCTGCTCGGCAGCACCGGGTAGCCTCGCTTCGTACGCGCTGTTCAGCCGTTCGAGATGCTCGATCGACGCCGGTCGTGGCTGATTGGACTTGTTACGCGTCGGATACCAGCCGCGATTCGGACCACCGGCCAGTCGTAACAGCTCCGTCCCGATTATTGCCTGCTCTAGTCCTGGATTATTTCTTCGGTATCTGCAATCGCGTGGATCGACAGTTAAAAACTTGTCGCTACAATCAAACAAACATCTTTAGAAACTCAAGCAATTTCAGATTTTCAAAATAATATCCTAATCATCCACTATAAAATTATTAAATTGTTACGTTTTTCGAAATAGTTGTTAAGTTCCTTGTACGAAAACTCGATTTCTAAAAGCAATTAACAACTGGAAAACTGGAATAAGAAACCTACCCAGTAGTGGCGGTCGCAGGCGCGTACCATCCAGGCTGTCTACGAGGCTGCGTAGGATTACCGCTGGCGTGCTGTGGTGTTCTTGGGATATCGCTACCTCGCGCGAATACCGGCGTCTCCGGCAGCGAGCAGCTGGTTTGCATTCCCGAGGCTTGAGCGGCAACTGTTCCACTTCCACTACCGCCGCCTCCACTGCCGCCCGAGGAGCAAGCCTCCGTTGACGGCGAGTGTCGTTTCGAGAAAGGCCGACGATGCGACGGTCCAGGCAAGTCCGTCGGCAATGTTCTTCGTTCTACTGGTACCTGCAATTTTCATTTTGACGCAATAAGCGATAAGAATTGATGATTATTTTCTTGTTCATAGAAAACGCTCGGCTACTTTTAGCTTTCGCCTCACCTCGCGTCTATTGGCCATGCCCGGAGCCATCTTGCGTCGTCGTGCATAGGCTGCGTCCATGGATCTCGTATTAAGGGAGCCAGTATGATGATCCCTCGACGAGTCGAGGCTGATACCTCGATGTGGTGGTACGCGTGGTCTATAATCGACCGAGCGATTTCCGTGGCCTTGCTTTGTCTTGACCGATATATTGCCTGTCGCGGTACCGTTGCAACCTGAACCGCCAACGTCAGAACTCTCTTCGTCAGCCTCTTCCACTGGTGATGGCGGTAATGGTGGGAATTCGAGTACCTCCACGCTCACCTGGAACGAACATGATGATGAATATCTCAATGGAAATTCAATTCAAGAAGTAATAACTATGAATTGAAAAATGTATACCTGGAAGTCTGGATTCTTAGAGTCCTCGAGAATAGCGTCGATCACATTCTCGATCTGTTTCGTATCGTTTTTATGATTCTCAAGATCTCCGGCCCTTCTTCTGCCAGATGAGTAAACATCGCCACCGTTTAACCTTCTCCGGTCGAACTCAACGTCGGTAACATTCTTACTGACCGCGTCAGTAACGTCGACTACATGTGGTGGCGGTGGCGGTGGTTGCTGGGGTTTTCTTCCAACTTGCCTGTTGTCGTATTGACCAGGCTCAAGGTGTCTGCGCTCACAACTATCACTGTCGAAGCTATTCCGCTTGGAACTGCCGTTGCGCCACCGTTTAGTGCTGTCGCTGTCAAAGGTAACGCTGCTGTTCTTTACGCTCTCGATCTCCTTGATGGCGTCGCTGACTTTTTCCAGTTGACGTCGGTTCTCATTGAGTGCCTTTTTTACAATCTCGCCCTCGATCAGCAGATTAACGGGAATCTTCGACTCGAAGCGGGGATGCGGTTGAGGATGGTACTGTTCATTGTTGACCGAACGTCTCGAGGGAATGTCGTCTTTAGCATCTACAGTTTTTGATACGTCTAGACTCTTAGAAGTGGTGATGGTGATGCCATTGCACTCTTTCGTTTTCTCGGCAAAGCTGGTGATCTTCACCGGCTCGCTATCGTCCGGACTATCCGGTAGTGGTCTATCCGCAAAACCGTTTTCAAGGCTGCTCGTTATCTTTTGCTCGGCAGCGGTTCCAGCAGCCTCCATGTGCTTGGAATTGCGCTTCTCATTTGGTTTACTGGACGAGTGCGTTATGGAAATGACGCTCACGAGATCTGGTTGAGAGGCAGCTTGGGCGTTAGCGAATTCCGACGGAAGTTCTTTCAAACCTTCCAGCTTCTTGTTTTCCTTGAGTAAGCTCTTGATGTTGTCGAAGGTGTTGGAAAATCTTCGCACCTCGGTCAATCTAGTCTCCTCCAGCTCATCGTCTAGACTTTTCGTGGGAGACTTTGGCAAGATTTTTCGTTCCTTTTTCCGACCTCGACGAATCACGTATGTTCCGCTCTTGCTCAAATCCTGAGGACGCAGGTTGTCCAAATCGTTTGTCGACGAATCCGAATAGGGCGAGATCAGATCGTCGTCAGTCGTGGAGACACGAGGATCTTGCCAGTCGTCAAAGTCGCGCAGTTTCGATGCCGAGCCAACACCTTATGACAGTGAAAAAACAATTAGTCAAACGTAGGAATTGGCGTTAGTCGAAAGAAGTGAAAATGGAGATACTCACTGGAAACGTCACTGCTCTTTCGCCTCCTCCTGCCAACAACCTTCGTACTACCGGGCACGTAGATGTCTTCCTCGAGGGATACCTCCCAGGCGATGCTGTGTCTCTTGCTGAGTGCCGGAGGCGGCGGAAGCAATTCCTCCAAGGAGTCGTCTGAAAAGTGTTCTTCCTCGGACTGCGTTCGGAAATCCGTCGAGTTTCTCGTGGAGAAATCGGAATTCCTCGTGGAGTATATCTCGGAATATCTCTCCTCGCGATCAGAAGTCTGCGCGGAGAACCTTTCGCTGGAGTCAGCATGGGGAAGATTGAAGGAGACAAAGTCGAGGTTGCGTATGGAGAACGGATCCACCGAGGGCACACTGCTCACGTGATCGTTGGAGCTGGCGCTGGCCATGGCTATCGAGAAATCCGAGTGGAAGCGCTCGTTCGACATGGAATTGGCCCGCGAGAAGTCGGAGCTGTCGCAGTTGGCCCGCATGGAGAAACGCTCGACGCTCACCGAGCTCGAGCGCGGCATCGACGATCTCTCGGATTCTGAGTTTCGCGAAAAGCGCCCCTCGCTCGAGTCCGAGTTGTTGCGACGTCTGCGGGCCGAGGCCGAGCGCTCGCTGCAACCTGCACTCATGGCCGTTCCACCGTTGTGGTTTCGACTTGACAACGATGCCGCGCGAGGTCCGTTGTGGTTCATCAGCAGTCGGTCCTCCACACTGTTAACAAGGAAGAAGGCAATCAGTCGCTACGTTCGACAGCGGATCGCGTCGTTGCAGTTGTAGCTTGCGCGTACCTGCTCGATTTGATGATTTCATTCTGCCTCGACGGCCTTCGCGAGCCCGGATGATGATAGTGATGATGATGGTGGCTGTTGTGAGCGACAGAGGCCGACCTCTTCTTGTCGGAGCTCGGCCGATTCGACCGCTGCTCGGCGTTGTCGTCGTCGTCGTCGTCGTCGTCCTCCTCCTCCTCCTCCTCTTCCTCCTCCTCCTCCTCTTCGTCTCCGTCGGCGTCCTCGTCGTCGACTTCGTCCTCTTCGTCGAGGCCGTCCTCGGACGACTGTCGCAGATCCTCAAGACCGTCCTCGGAGGAGTGTCGACGCTTGCTGCTGGCGTTGGAAGCGCTATCGACGGGCACGGCGCCACCGGGATTCGCGCGCGCTGGAACCCAGTTGAACGACACTTTGCCGTCGTAAGGCAGACTGGCGAACTTGCTCGGCGGACTCGGCGGCTCCGCCAGCCGGAACGGCTCCAGCTTGTTGCCGCCGTTCTCCCAGCCGTAGGGCCGTTGATGCCTCGTTTTAGGCTGCAATGCAAACAGACCGCTGATTATAGTCTGCGCCGAGACCATATCGCCGACGCGAAGGTTGATGCACTTTTGGAGTGCGAAATCCCAACGTATATATCGTTCGTGGTGGTCTTTGGCCTTTTGGCCAAGGCCAAGCGGGAACAGGGAAAAGCACTCAAGAAAGCGTCGTTTCGGCGAAGGGCATTTTTAGCAAGCAGCGCTCCAGTGGGTTCACGTGCCTCTGTATAGGTAAAGCGTAAGCTAATATCGGGTGGCAAGCCGCGAGCGAGCGTACACGGTCGGTATTAGTCTCGACGCGTCGTCGTCCGCCGTCAGAAACAGCAGCAGCGGCAGTAGTAGCCGAAGCTCTTGCGCCCTCTGTGTACATACGCTTAGCGCTCTCCCGGCACTTTGCGCGCGGCTATAGATTTTACCTCTCTACTATGCGCTACATATGTGTACGGCCAGACGCGCTCACGCGTCTGCAAATAACACACGAGGGCTACGCAATGCTGCTCTGACCCTGTTGTAGCGAGCAAGCGCCAGCGTGTAATATCCGATTCGAGTGACGAATCAGCGAGGTATTTGCCAAACTTTTTACTTATGCGATCACTTACCGTCTCGTAAACATAGTCTTTCTTTTCAACTAAAAATTCTTCTTTATCTAGGATTAGTGGTCTAGTAATTGTGGTCCGGTATTTCAAGACAGCCGATTCGAATGTCCGACCGAACCTCGTCTCATTCTACTGAATTGATGGACTCGCGGTGCTCGTCTACCTGTATTTATCGGATAAGGTGACGCGAGACGTGGCTATTTTACAGCAAGCGAGTGAAAGCGAAGTACCGAGGAGGGCACGGGAGTCGCGACCACGAGATTGCGGCTCACAGTTGAACAGGGTTCAGCGTCCGTCTCGAAACTCCGTTCGGAGAAACTATGTCGAAGCTGTAGGTGTGCGGTGAAAGCGAGTTAAAACTGACCAAAGTAGTCTGCGTGGTAACGGCAGCGTGTCCTTGACGTTTCAGGTCGTCCATGTTAATAGTCCAGGCCATGCCGCGTGCAGTTCGACGCTGGCCCGAATTCGGCTGTTCTCGTTGTTGCTGCTGCTGCTGCTGCTGCTGCTGATGGTGGTGGTGGTGGCCACTTCTCTTCGTCGAGTTTCCCGGAGAAACCCTGCAACAAAGGAAACAACGGGCTGAGCCAACGGTCCAAACACAACCACGGAGAAAAGCCAGCAGGGGAGCTCGATTCGAAAGCTCGCGGCTTTCGCTCTGCAAGCTACCTTAATAATTGCCGGGCTAATGAGTCACGCGGGGAGAGCCGGCGCTTAATCGCCTTTCGCTCCACCTTGTTTTCCTCGTTCAAAATCGACGCCAGCGCTTTTCCGCATTCAAGCTCGTCAACCTCCGTTTGCCGTGGTGCGGTAATTGTTGTCATTAGCCCCCCGGGGACGACGCTACGATCGCTATGCTCCGACATGCAGTCGCAAGCTGATTCTCGATCTTTCTGCGACTGCGACTTTTCAATCGGCCCGAATGAGAGATTTGATGAACATTTGAACAGTCGATCAACTGCCTGATCAAGGCTGATCGAGCTAGACGTATAATGTGCGCAGCGTCGACACGGATTATGCATTAGTTATGAGCACGACAATTTATGAATTTCCCAGCGGAGCGGGCGCGCGGCTGTGGACGCGCCCCGTCGCTTTCCGAACGACCGAGTGCGATTGGATTGGCAATTACGAGCGCGATGGGTAGCATGACGTAAGGTAAGACTCGCTATACGCGCAGATAGGGCCGCGATTCGTCGAAATACCGCTATGCGTGGGCAAAAGTTGATTTATCTCGACGGCGACGGGTTTCCCATTAGAAAATAAAACCCTGCGGCCATGGGAACTTGCACATCTCTCTCTCTCTCTCTCTCTCTCTCTCTCTCTCTCTCTCTCTCTCCTGGAACGCCGCTGGAATATTCAATATGTTCGCTGCACACTTTCATTCGATTACATGCCTGACAAACGCCCAAGGATTACGCCTCGATCTCTGCGTCTGCAGTTATTTTTACATGCCGTATCTATCCGTCGCGAAGGTGAAAAAGGAGAGCAGCGCAATTATCATTGAATCAAACTTGATTCATACGACGTAACGTTTACGAAAAAGTAATTATCAATTTAATGTGGTCGAGCAGCATTCTGCCTAGAACTAGATGCATGCCATGAGTGCACACATGCCAAAAGTATGCAAGGGCAGTTTGCAACGGCGACACAAGTCTAGTTTAGCGAGTTAACTTATCCGTGAAGGGCAGTGCATTCCCGTCCCTGCACAACGATCGTTTTGTGCTAAACCGTGCTTCGCAAGTGCTTACAATCACATTTTTCCGACGATTGAGCTTCCTGTCGAATCGATCGAACTGACCGTGTCAGCCCTAACAGCAGTCGACGATATGCTTGGAACCATACCGAATTTTTCGCCACTTATTCTCTCGTACTTTCACATTTTGTGCAAAGCAGAGATTCTAATAGAGGCCTTCCATATATGTACATACAACTTTGCCTTTCCTGTTTATTTGTTATATAGTCAGTCTTATCATCGGCTGGAATGAAAGTAAGCCACTCGGAAGCTTTTAGTGTGCAACGTGCAGGCTAAGTTGCGAGGCTGAATTAAGTGGATCTACTAATAAGCAAGTGGACACGTTTTTCCTTGAATTTACTATTTCGACGATATTAGGTCAGATAATCAGCCCACCACACTTACATAGATGTTTCCGGGCACGCAAATGCTAACCGGTGAGCCGCAGTGGTGAGGCTTTTTCGTTAGCGTTCTTATTCACCGCATTGTCTTATCATAGCCCTCCCATTAGCATTTAGATAGAAAGCTTATGGGAAAAACCGAAATAAAGCTCTCGTCGAAGGTCGAGGCGACTGGTTTGGCGTGCGCGTATGTATCGTAAGAAAAAATCTGAGCGTTGCCACAAGTCTCCCAAGGAGTCGGATGGCGAATAAATCTTAGGGCGTTATCGAGCCACCTCCGGACAATTGTTTTATCTGCGCTATCGCGCGATACTTTCCGCTCATAGAGGCGAAGAGCCTCGCCTCGCCTCAGTAGCAGCGGCAACGGCAGCGGCAGCGGCAGCGGCAGCGGAGTTTGATTGTTCGTAATCGAAGAATAGCCTCCTCTGGAATTGGCTACACCCCGGCGAGCGCAAATTACTTTCGACGAGAGGAATTCTCGGTGGATCTTCCTTTGAAGGGCGTCTCTTGTCGATATAAAAGCCCGCGTGCTGTCGCTCAAGCATTGCGCAATGATTGTGCGCGCTCGACGGGAAAATGGTTTTCAATGCAATTCATTAAAAGGCCTCGATACAGCTCGGTAGGCGAACGCGACCGTTAATTAAAAGCCTCGATATTGCTCCAGAGGGAAAATTTACTTTCTCGTTATAGGAGAAATTAGCGAATCCGCTGAAAAATCGCGAGACAGGCGGAAAGTGGAAGTTTTCGCGGCTGGTCTTTAATCATTTAATTAGATCAAACGAAACAGATTATCCGCCGACAAAAGCACTCCGAAGAGGCAGCAAGACTGTACAATTGGGCTACTCTCGGGCAAGTCCGAGTGAAGCGACGTGAAATTGAGCCCCGGCAAAGTTCTTTGAGGGATTGAAGACTGAAAGCCCCGGCTTGCCTCCGTTCCCTCTTTCGCGTCTCTCTAGCTCTCTACAGCGGCGGCGTGAAATTCGCCTAGCGTCCTCGGCAGAGCGATTTGCTGCAATTGCGCTTGTCGCCCTCGTTGCCCGTGGAATCTGGAATCTGGAATGTGGAATCTGGACGACCAACCGGCCGCGACCCTTTGCCTTTCCGCGCGTCAAGCTTGAAGAAGCGCCGGACTTACATGGGAAGTAAAGTGGAGATTATTCGTTCAGCCTCTTCTGGTGGCGGAGGGAATTCCTGTGCCGGAGCTGCCGCGGGATCCTGGGGCTCTGGGCAGTCCGGTACCGGGCGTAGTGCTACCAATGCCATCTTCGCTTTCCGGCCATTCATGCTCATGTATCCGTCGTCCTCGGATTGGTGTCCTGTAACGATCGGCAGCGGTCAACGGAGAGTGGAAGCGTCGAAAAGGCAGGTGAAGAGAGGCGCGGAGGACCCGGGCGGAGGGAGCGAGGGGCGTCGGAGAGGACGAAGGAAAAAGGGAAGGAAGAATGCTCTCGGTCCGCCTGTGTTTTGCTTGGCGGCCTGGCTAACGAGTGCGCAGCGCCCGCTATCTTTTATTCGTTCGCGCGCCCGGAAGAACGGAAGTTGTGCGCCTCCGTCGCCCCGGGCATTCGAGCGCGGCTCCGGGGACTCCGGCGAGGACGACGCGCGGGGCTTGCGCTACCTAAGGAGGGGCTCTCGTCGTCCGGCGTGAGGCCGATGCTCGGCTCGGTGCTGCTGCTGCAGTCGGTTGCCAGTCCGGCACTGCTGCTGACGCCACCTCCACCCCCGCTTCCGCCGCTGCCACCGCCGCCGCCGCCGCCACCGCCGCCACCGCCGCCACCGCCGCCTTCGCCGACGCAGCCGCCGACCTCGACCTCGTGCTCGTCGTATTCGGAGAGCACCTTGTCCAACAGCTCGATCGATCGCTGCACATCGTCACCTCTGCAAAACAACAAGCGCACCAACATTATCACGTTGGCTCTGCGTTTCGCTGATGTTTTTGTACGAAAGAGAGTTCCGTCAAAGACAAACTTTGGCCGACTCTGGCCTTAAGGGAATGCACTTCGTGCAACTTCGAGACCCTCCTCTTTCCCATTGGAAAGGAGCTCAATCAGATTTACTCGTGGCACGGAAAATTGCTTTTCCTCGAGGAAAATGCACTTGAGCCTACACGCTTCTTTTCTCTCCCTTCGACAACCTTTACTCCTCCTTTTAGCTATTTTATTTAATATCGATCTGTCCTCCACAGCTTTAATCGCATCGTTATTTGCTTCTTGCACTGCTCTCTCTCTCTCTCTCTCTCTCTCTCTCTCTCCCTCTCATTTGATCGTCCAAGTAAAACAAGACCATTCCTTAAATTTAGCTTCGATAAAAATCGCGCTCTCCTCTACTGCTTTCGTCCCATTCTATCCGATTATTATTGCCCTACAACAGAATATAACAGGATAAAATTGTCGGCGCCAATACAGCAACGAAGGCAAACGCGCACGCCGGCAGGTCTATCTCGTTATTGTTCTCTCGGCGAAGAAATGAGAAGTGTATCGCGAGCGGCGACAGTTGCACTCGCTCTACTGAGATGAATGCGTAATTGCGTGCGTTACAAGCCCCGAGGAGTCCATGACCGATTCCAATCGCAACGTCGCCCCTGCGACAAAGCTCGCTGCCACGATACACCACCTCGGGCTCGTTATTGTCGAGCGCAGCGAGATACTCGCGGGCGGCCTTTTGTTCAGACTGGCCGAGATCGGGCCTGACCCACATACCCCTACAACTAGCGTTTCTTGATTGATGAGACCGTACTTAACGAGATTGAACCCGACGTGATTGCCTTTGCACTCTTTCATAATGGTTTATTTAACGACTTATCGCGTGTGGCTACTCAGTACATTCATTGTCGTGCGAATATCCCTGGCCGGGCAAAGCTCACCACCGAAAGTTTTAATTGCGAGCTATTCTGCAATTTGTTGAGACAGCGCGCGGCGAAACTTGGCCAAAGTGCCAAACAATTCAAAGTGATGGCGAGCTGCGTATGCATTAAAGGTATTTACGAACTGCAGCAGCGCGGAAACTACCGAAGTCGTACTAGCGAAAGGGGCGGCGGCGGGCTCAGGCAAATTACGATTTTTACGAGGCCATCATTATGCTTTTACAGGCGACGGGCGCTACGGTACGAATAAATCCGCGACACGGAGCCGCGCGACGTCGCGAATGGCGAAATGGCGACGGACTGATAAGGCCAGAGGTCGTTTCGAACGACGCGAACGATCCTGAAAAGCGCGCGCAGCCGCAGCGGAGTGAAAATCGTGCACGTCTTAGCGAACGGCGTGGCGACACCTGCGCAGCGATTTGATTTGGCTCGAGTGCAAACAGTCCGGAATCGACGCGGGCGCTGCCGCCGAGGCAGCCGATCGACGCCGCTGTCACCACCTCCGAGAGGCGGTTTCGCGGTTGCCGCCAATCGCCGATCGGATTGCACGGCTGTCGTTCGTCGGATAGAGTTGCAGGCCGGCGTGCGATGGCATCGGTGGCAGAGCGAAATCGCCGGCACGCGCATCTCGTTTGATATCGGAAAGGCGATTAGGCGCTTCGACTAGTGCTCGGAGTGGGCAGCTAACGGGACAAGAGGGAACGAGAGTTCGTTAGCGGCTTTATCGGCCTCGGTTTTTGCTGTTCAGCGAAGCGGCGGCGCGACGTCGGACGTCAAAGTTGTCTTTAGCAGGGCCGGCAAGGAAGCGCGTGCCCGGAATCCGAGGGGCCGCGAGACCGTGGAGAGCGCTGAACGACGCGGCTTTTTCCGTTTGATTACGGATTAGTTCGGCCTTGGCGCTGACTCCTTGACGGTTTTCGGCCTGACCAGTCCGAATGGTGGTACGATCCGCTTTGAACGCCCGCCTCGAGAGCTCGCGCTCCTTATGCTTGGCAAGCAACGAACGAGGAGAGGTGCCGAGAGCCAAGCTTAGCGACGATCAGTCACGAGGATCGCTTCTCCTCTGCGTCCAAGCCAAAGATTAACGAGGACGAGTAGGTGCTCGGTGCTCGGTGCTCGGCGAGGTCTAATAGTCGCATCAATTACGCGCGGCAGACGAGCGATTCGTTAGGCACGGGTGTGCTCGTCGCGCGGCTGAGCGTTCAAGCTGGAATGGATGTGGGCCAGGCGTAAGCTGGATAAGCGGCGATGAGAGCGAGAGGGTGCCTCGCGACGCCGTACACACGCATCCCGGACGGATAATTCGATCGAGGTCGGCATTCGATCAGCGCCACAGCGCCACGGGGGCCTGGCTCGACGAGCTCGCTCGAAAGGACTAACTAGGGGCGCGCGAAGAGAGCGGCGCCAAGCGCCTCGAAACGACGAGGCCTCGCGGGAGCCAACGCCAAGGCCGAACGCACAATGGACGAAGGGAAGGCGGCGTCCGGGCGTCCGGGCGTCCGTCGCGCGCCGTCTGGCGCTGCAAGGCGGTGAAACTTTAAAAAGCTGCGGGGGCGAACACGAGCCGGTTTGTTTTCCCTAGCGCTGCCTCTGTTGCCACGCTCGGTGCGCGCGCAACGCTTACGAAGGAGTCCATCTTTTCATAATTGCTCGCGATAACCAGCGCGTGCTTTCCAAATCTATAACAGTATTTGTTCTGCAGTAGGGGGTCGAATGCGACGAGTTTCGCTGGGAACGTCGTTGATTGCAATCACGACGCGTAACGGCGATCGACTGATTAGCTCGCGGGTACTCGAAAGGGGCCGGCTCATCAAGAACAGAGCCGACGAGTCGGAAACGGGCATTCGTTAGCGTAGTCGCGTGCTCGTGAAAAAAGGCTCGGAATTGGTGCGCGCTACGCGCTCCCGCGTCCCGTAGGGAACGAGCAGCACAATTGTCGAAATTAAGGCTCGGATTTGCTCGACGACGGGAATTCAGCCGGCGCGCGCGCGACTAACCCGACAAAAACCGACAAAAACCGACTGTCGTTCCCCTTCGCCGGCTGACGCCTGCGAGCCGGCTGCTCGACGGTTTTTAATCGCGTTAGCAGTGTCGGTCATCTGACGCCGTGTAAACTTGGACGCCGATTGAAATTGGCCAGAGTTCGTCAGCCAGAATAAACTCCCCAATGGGCTGTCACGATTGGCAGACGTTGCTCGCTTCTCCGCCATCGTTAGTGCGACTTTCCGAACGGACGCCCGGAGGTCCGCGGAGTGTCGATTGCCTTGCTTGCGATCGATTGGCCAAACTCGGATGGCAGAGCCAACGATTTCCGAGCGCGGCGAGCGGACTGCAGCGTCGGCGTAAAGTTTCGGGGAGTGGGGCAATAATGGACCGATAGGAGCGAAGAAACGGGTGGAAGCGGCGACACGCAAAATAGTTGGCCGCGAGCAGGAGGGGGTGGAGCAGCTTTGCGCGTGTCAGTCCAGGGACGACAATGAATCGACGCGGCGCACGCGAGAACCCCAGCGCCGGAGGTCGACGGTTGCACCGTGCATATCGCGGCGCGAGCACACGAGCCGAGGGCAGCCAACAGGTAGTTAAGCGTCGCGCGAGAGAGATCAAAGCTTGCGGCGCCTGGCGGAGGAAAATAAGCAGGCAGGTTGGCCAATAATGGGTCAACTCGTTAGCGTAGTTGGACCGGCGCGCAGGGCAACGCGAGACTCTCCCCGCTCGGAAAGCATCTTTGACGTCCTCTCTCTTTCTCCCTCCCTTTATTTTCTCTCCTTTGCGCTTGCATCGGGGGATATCACGATCAAAGCCAGCCACACGCGACTGAAGCATCCTTTGGCTAAGAGGATTCGCTTTTTCTTCTTTGATCCGACGCGGTAGCTTCCGAGAATGAGCTCTCTTTCATCGCGTCGTCGACTTTGTAAGCAGGCCTGCCTCGGTAACAACCTGTGGAACAACGCGAAAAGCAATGAGCCACGGCGCAAGGGGATGGCCGAGAGCGCGCGGGCGGCGCCGGTGGTGCAAGCAGCGCGTATCGATTGGCGCCTGACCCTGTTTCGGGCAGCGAGCGCACGTACGCAGTTGGACGCAATAGCTGCACGGCCACGCGCCGTTATCGGCTTGCCGCTGGGCGCGCGCCGTGTCACCTCTCGCGTCACCCTCGTACCTAATATCCGACGAGGCGCACCGTCGGCGCAGCTCGCTCTCTGCTGCGCTGCGCGTGGCCCTTTTCGCGAAGCTGTTTTCGCCCCTGCCCACCTGATACGTGTTCGTTTGCGTCACCACTCGCGCCCCGTTTCCGCCCGATACGCGATATTTCGCGGATGAGCTCGCGTCAATCTCGCGGCAACTTCCTTTCGTCTGTTCCACCCTTCACCGCGGATGCGCTTGGCTCGCCGTTGCGCGTTAGTCGAGTAGTCAAAATGCCCAAAATGCCCAAAATGCCCAAAATGCCCAAAATGCCCAAAATGCCGGTTCGCTCGGGCGTCGCGACCGTCGACGACATTGATTCTCGACGACCCATTAATAACGTCGAACTATCGATAAAAGTGCTGCAAGCTAATAAAGCCCGACGGACTCAATATATCGGCGTTATTGCATTTTTCACTCGACACTCGATTGAACGTTGCCTCGTGGAATTTAAGGCGGGGTGACCCCGATTGCCGAGCTTTTAGCCGAAATCACGTCCAATTTCTGGAATTTCCATCGACGTAAACGCATTTGCGACTCTGGGATGAAAGGTTAATCGGGATTCATCGAGCCGCATATTTTAAATTTAACGAATTGTTCGTTGCCGAGTAACACCACGCGCCGAACGCATTCCCCAACTGTTCCCGACCGAAAATAGTCGAAATCGGATGGATTTACGTGCCGTCAGATTTTGTTTGAACAGGAAATTAAAGGACGATTAAATGGGGTGGCAATCGTGCGTGGCGATCGTGCGTGGCAACGGCATCGCGGCAACCGCGCAGCCGAGAGAGGCAACGGGCGCGCGCTGTCCCGCGAGGACCGGCCATTGTCCTGC